AAGGGAGTACGTGATCCTCCCGGTCACGTGAGGGTGACCAACAATTGAATAAACTCATGACCCTTGAATAAAAAAACATGGTGATTATTGCAGACACTCATAACAATGAGGGCACATTAAGTGGTTACACAAAAACAGTTCGTCAACAAGTGCAAAAAAACACATTTGCAGATAGAGCCATCGACAATGACACAAAAGTACCCCTGATGAGCCCATTAGGGTATAGTGCAATGGTTGCCTGCGCCTTAGGCAAGAGAAGGCATCAAGTGTAAAGGTGCAATTACATTCAATAGCCCGATAATAACACTCGGGGTCAAGTAATAACATGGTCAGAAAGATTCACAATAACATACAGTATCGACGAAAAACATTCGGTACCGATAAGGCACACAAAAAATTGCAAGGTTCAAGCAGGGCATGAGCCCAGAACTGCCCTCCCAAAGGCCATGTCAGGTGTATACCTGGTGTTCAGTCTGTAATGTGAAACAAATGTCTGAGGATTCTTCCAAATGGCCGCCTTGCAAATAGCGTCCAGGGGAATCCCCTTAAGAAAAGCCGTGGAGGCCGCCATAGCCCTGGTCGACCGAGCCCGGACGACCGAGGGGGGTTGTCTTCGAGCCAACTGGTAACAAAGCTCGATGGTCGAAGTGATCCAGTGCGACAAGCGTTGCGCCGTGATCGGCAGGCCCACCTTATCCGGGGCATATGCAGCAAAGAGTCTCTGAGTCCGTCGAGACTGAGCAGTCCTGTCCTTATAACACAGCAAAGCTCTCCGCACATCGAGCATATGAAGTCTCTTCTCCTCTGGGGTAGAGGGGAGCTGACAGAAGGATGGGAGGATAATGTCCTCATTAACATGGAAGGGGGACACAACCTTAGGGAGGAATGTCACATCTGTGCGGAGAACTGCTCTGTCCTCGTGGACAACAAAGTAAGGTTCGTCCACCCGCAATGCCGCGAGCTCCGACGGTCGTCGTGCCGAGGTGATAGCGACCAGAAAGGCCACCTTCCATGACAACAGCCGAAGATCGATCAACGCCAACAGCTCGAATGGTGGTTCTGCGAGCCGAGCCAGCACGAGGTCGAGGTCCCATCCCGGGGTCGGAGAACGAACCGGGGATGCAAGTTGTTGAAACCCCGTAAAAAGGATTTCACAGAGCTGTCCTTAAACAAGGAGGCTTCACCTGCCCGCTGCAGCTGTCGTGAGATGGCTGCCAGGTGGGACTTGAGAGACGATAGCGACAAACCTCGTTCGGTAAGATGCAGCAAGAACGAGAGGATCGTCGGTATCGAAGGCCGATGGTCG